AAGAGGCCCGGCATGGGGGTGGGGGGGGGGGGTGTTCACATTCACGGAGGGGAGGTCTGTTGGGTGGGCTGAAAGCCCATGGGTGAAAAAGGATTCCGAGAAATCCTTATCTTATTCCCCATGACTTATATTATATCCACTACGCGCTTCCCGAAAGATTAAAGATGAATCAAGAATGGGCTTTGTTCATTCTTTAGCCCACGCCCATCGTTGACCCCGCAACACATGATGTTTACTCGTCCTGAATTGTCCGCGGAACAGGGCGGGTTGGGCGTCCTGGTTTGTCTGGGAAACAGGACGGGCTGGTTGGACGGTTGTTTGCCCGGGAAACAGGATGGGCTGGTGATTTCTTACCCGTCCTGATTTCTGACATTACCCGTCCGGATTTGCCCGGAAAGCTGGACGGCTTCCGTCTCCTGATTTGCTTGGGCAACAGAACGGTTTGGACGCTGTGATTTTGCCCGTCGCCCGGGAAACAGAACAGGTTGGACGAGCTGTGATTTCGTACCTGCGCCGATTTGCCCGTGTGGGATAGGGTCGGAAGCAGGGTTTGCTTGCAAAGGCACTGCCTGCTTGGCTTGGTGCATTTCAGGGAGCAAGCGCTAGCAGCCACGTAAATCCGGCCACTGGGACCTCAAGTCAAGCACCCACGGGCCGTGATCGTGCGGGAAACTGAAGGCAAATCAATGGAATTGAAGAGAAATGAAGGAGAACATGAACGGAAGAAAAACGGAGGGAGGGGCAGCGCCGGCTGCTGCAAGGCCTCGAAGGGCTAGGAGGGCGACCTTCAGGTATAATGCTGTCCGCCCCATGCAGCCAACCATGAGGAGACCTAGCGAGGACCTAGCGCATGCGTTTTGTGTTGCGCTGTCCCGGCTACGGGGCGAAGGATTTGTGAATTTGTTTGGACGATTGTTGAGAATTGTTGATGCTTTTTGGACCATCTCCACGCGAGTCAAAAACTGAGGGGTTTTAAGGGGGCCTCCCAGTACTGGACAACATCCCCAACATTGCCAGCACCACCCGAATGAATCGTTCAATGCGGGGCAAGCTGGCGATGCCAAATGGAGGGTTAATCAAGGGGTGTACTCAGGGAAATGCAGGACAATACAGTTAAGTGACATGAAGGTAAATTAAAGACGATGCGGCGAAACTAATTGAAGGACAATGAAACGGGAATGCATGGAAACGAAATTGGAAATCAACTGGAAACAAAGGGAAATGATAGGAAGTGAACAAGTGAACATGCAAGGAAACACGGCAAAACAACATGAAGGGACCGAAATGAATCAAACTATTGGGCCTCAAATGTAGGAACATTAAGTCACATGAAGGAAGAAATGAAGGGGCATTAGATGAGAAATCAAGGTTTACGTCTAACGGTATAACAAGTCTTTTCACATTTTGCGTTAGCTCCAAGCCATTGACAACCGCACATCGTTCATGGATCTGGAAACTGAACATCTCCTGCTGAAAAGCATCCAAAGGCAATTGAAAACGCACTTTAACCATACAGCGACCTCTCTGTAGACTACTTGACAGCATCGGTGCATCTGGCCTGATCCCAAACAGCTCAAGGCAACAGCTGAAATTGCGGCTGGCAAACGTGATCAATTGTGTCAGCAGGATGGATCTATCAAACCAAGGTGCACCGATGGGAACGTGTGTTTCTTCAATTCTTGACAATTGCAAGCCTCGCAACGAACTACAACTGAAGCGAGCTACTGGCGATGCCGCTCCACCTATAGTAACACAAAACAGCTTCAGAAGCCATGGAACATGGTTGTTCGAGGCTGACTCTGGCTCATGGCTGATGGTGGCAATTGGGCCTGTTCAGTAGTAAGGGTCGTATCGCTTGCCCTTGCCCTTGCTCTTGCCACCAGACTTGCCATAGTCACCATTGTCGCCATAGTCTCCGCCGCCGCCTCCTCCGCTTCCGCCATTCGCCAGGGTCACATTGGTGGCCCTGGTCTTGCCGCTCCTGGGGTCCTCCGAAATGTCGAAGGTCATCTCCGCACCTATGACCATGTCTTCAGAGCCTCCGTTGGTCAGCTGGGAGAAGTGGACGAAGACATCGCCGGAACCGTCCGAGTTCTCAATGAAGCCGAAGCCCTTGCCGTCCATGAACCTCTTCAAGGAGCCTGAGTATGCCATCAGTGACAAACAACACTTCGGCCTTTATGGGAGGGCAATTCGGCGGTCTGTGGCTAGTGGCTGCAAAGACATCGCTCAAGCTGCTCCCCTTAATGGCTCTGCTTTTGACCAAAACAAAACAGCCACTGATGCATGTTGCCGTGCATACGTCTCGGTGCTAAACGCATGCAGCCCCAAAAGCCAATGAGAGACAAAGACCTGATGAACGCATGCCGCGCAGGCAGAAACGTATGCCCTCAAGGTGCATGAATCACAATTTAAGCTTACAGCGACCTCTCTGTAGACTATTTGACAGCATCGGTGCATCTGGCCTGATCCCAAACAGCTACAGGCAACAGCTGAAATTGCGGCTGGCAAACGTGATCAATTGTGTCAGCGGGATGGATCTATCAAACCAAGGTGCACCGATGGGGAACGTGCGATTCTTCAATTCTTGACAATTGCAAGCCTCGCAACGAACTACAACTGAAGCGAGCTACTGGCGATGCCGCTCCACCTATAGTAACACAAAACAGCTTCAGAAGCCATGGAACATGGTTGTTCGAGGCTGACTCTGGCTCATGGCTGATGGTGGCAATTGGGCCTGTTCAGTAGTAAGGGTCGTATCGCTTGCCCTTGCCCTTGCTCTTGCCACCAGACTTGCCATAGTCACCATTGTCGCCATAGTCTCCGCCGCCGCCTCCTCCGCTTCCGCCATTCGCCAGGGTCACATTGGTGGCCCTGGTCTTGCCGCTCCTGGGGTCCTCCGAAATGTCGAAGGTCATCTCCGCACCTATGACCATGTCTTCAGAGCCTCCGTTGGTCAGCTGGGAGAAGTGGACGAAGACATCGCCGGAACCGTCCGAGTTCTCAATGAAGCCGAAGCCCTTGCCGTCCATGAACCTCTTCAAGGAGCCTGAGTATGCCATCAGTGACCAACAACACTTCGGCCTTTATGGGAGGGCAATTTGGCGGTCTGCGGCTAGTGGCTGCAAAGACATCATCGTTGGTATGCTTAGATAAATCCCAACCCAAGAACAATAGCAAACGCATCCGATCCAGTCTTTTTTTCATGCTCTAACAGCTACTCACAGACCAACACGACTTATGCATCTGCCAGAAAGTCAGGACAGCAAACAAATGACAGCACATGTCAAGCCAAAACATCTGGAATCCACACAAATCGCTCAAAGTGCTCCCCCAAAGTGGCTCTGATTTTTTGACCAAAACAAAACAGCCACTGGTGCATGTTGCAGAGCACACATCTCGGTCCTAAACATGTGCAGACCCAAAACCAATGAGAGACAAAGACCTGATGAACGCATGCCGCGCAGAAATGCATGCCGCGCAGAAACGCATGCCCTCAAGGTGCATGAATCACAATTTAAGCTTACAGCGACCTCTCTGTAGACAATTTGACAGCATCGGTGCATCTGGCCTGATCCCAAGCAGCTACAGGCAACAGCTGAAATTGCGGCTGGCAAACGTGATCAATTGTGTCAGCGGGATGGATCTATCAAACCAAGGTGCACCGACGGAAACGTGCGATTCTTCAATTCTTGACATTTGCAAGCCCTGCAACGAACTACAATTGAAGCAAGCTACTGGCGATGCCGCTCCACCTATAGTAACACAAAACAGCTTCAGAAGCCATGGAACATGGTTGTTCGAGGCTGACTCTGGCTCATGGCTGATGGTGGCAATTGGGCCTGTTCAGTAGTAGGGGTCGTATCGCTTGCCCTTGCCCTTGCTCTTGCCACCAGACTTGCCATAGTCACCATTGTCGCCATAGTCTCCGCCGCCGCCTCCTCCGCTTCCGCCATTCGCCAGGGTCACATTGGTGGCCCTGGTCTTGCCGCTCCTGGGGTCCTCCGTAATGTCGAAGGTCATCTCCGCACCTATGACCATGTCTTCAGAGCCTCCGTTGGTCAGCTGGGAGAAGTGGACGAAGACATCGCCGGAACCGTCCGAGTTCTCAATGAAGCCGAAGCCCTTGCCGTCCATGAACCTCTTCAAGGAGCCTGAGTATGCCATCAGTGACCAACAACACTTCGGCCTTTATGGGAGGGCAATTTGGCGGTCTGCGGCTAGTGGCTGCAAAGACATCAACGTTGTTTTGCTTAGATACATCACGAGTTGTCGTGGCGGTTTGGACATGTATGCACACAAGACACCCAAACAAAGAACGTGTATTTCACAGCTGCATCTGATCCGGTATTTCTTCCGTGATCTAACAGCCACGCACAAGACCAACCACCTGGTCACCCACGGTTCTGCCAGCAAGTCAGGTCAGCAAATATAGTACAACACTTGTCAAGCCAGAACAACTCTAGAACCAACACGAATGGCTCAAAGAGTTGCCCCAAATGGCTCTGGATTCGATCAAAACAAAACAGAAACTCGCTTAAGGTTGCAGTACGCACGACAAGTCATTGCTGAACAAACAAGGACCAAACACTCATGACAGGAAAATCATCTTCTACACATGTCGCACTGAGAAGAGTCTCCTGAAAAAACATGAAGCCACAATTTCACCTTACAGCGACCTCTCTGAAGACTACTTGACGGCATCGGTGCATCTGGCCTGATCGCAAACAGCTCAAGGCAACACTGAAATTGCGGCTGGCAAACGTGATCAATTGTGCCAGCGGGATGGATCTGTCAAACCAAGGTACACCGATGGGAACGTGCAATTCTTCAATTCTTGACAATTGCAAGCCTTGCAACGGACTACAACTGAAGCGAGCTACTGGCGATGCCGATCCACCCATAGTAACACAAAACAGCTTCACGTGGAAGCCATGGAACATGGATGTTCGAGGATCATTGACTCTGGCTCATGGCTGATGGTGGCAAACGGGGCCTGTTCAGTAGTAAGGGTCGTATCGCTTGCCCTTGCCCTTGCCCTTGCCACCGGACTTGCCATAGCCACCGTAGTCCCCATAGTCTCCACCGCCGCCTCCTCCGCTTCCGCCATTCGCCAGGGTCACATTGGTGGCCTTGGTCTTGCCACTCCTGGGGTCCTCTGTAATGTCGAAGGTCATCTCCGCACCTACGACCAAGTCTTCAGAGCCTCCGTTGGTCAGCTGGGAGAAGTGGACAAAGACATCGCCGGAACCGTCCGAGTTCTCAATGAAGCCGAAGCCCTTGCCGTCCATGACCCTCTTCAAAGAGCCTGAGTATGCCATCAGTGACCAACAACGGCCTTTATGGGAGGGCAATTTGGCGGTCTGCGGCTAGTGGCTGCAAAGACATCAACGTTGTTTTGCTTAGATACATCACGAGTTGTCGTGGCGGTTTGGAAATGTATGAACACAAGACACCCAAACAAAGAACGTGTATTTCACAGCTTTCTTCCGTGATCTAACAGCCACGCACAAGACCAACCACCTGGTCACCCACGGTTCTGCCAGCAAGTCAGGTCAGCAAACATATTACAACACTTGTCAAGCCAGAACAACTCTGGAACCAACACGAATGGCTCAAAGAGTTGCCCCAAATGGCTCTGGATTCGATCAAAACAAAACAGAAACTCGCTTACCATTGCAGTACACACTTCGTGTCATTGCTGAAGAAATGAGGACCAAACACTCATGACAGGAAAATCATCTTCTACATATGTCGCACTGAGAAGAATCTCCTGAACAACACATGAAGCCACAATTTCACCTTACAGCGACCTCTCTGAAGACTACTTGACGGCATCGGTGCATCTGGCCTGATCCCAAACCGCTCAAGGCAGCAGCTGAAATTGGGCTGGCAAACGTGATCAATTGTGTCAGCGGGATCTATCAACCAAGGTGCACCGATGGGAACGTGCAATTCTTCAATTCTTGACATTTGCAAGCCCTGCAACGAACTACAACTGAAGCGAGCTACTGGCGATGCCGATCCACCTATAGTAACACAAAACAGCTTCAGAAGCCATGGAACATGGTTGTTCGAGGCTGACTCATGGCTGATGGTGGCAAACGGGGCCTGTTCAGTAGTAAGGGTCGTATCGCTTGCCCTTGCCCTTGCCCTTGCCACCGGACTTGCCATAGCCACCGTAGTCCCCATAGTCTCCACCGCCGCCTCCTCCGCTTCCGCCATTCGCCAGGGTCACATTGGTGGCCTTGGTCTTGCCACTCCTGGGGTCCTCTGTAATGTCGAAGGTCATCTCCGCACCTACGACCAAGTCTTCAGAGCCTCCGTTGGTCAGCTGGGAGAAGTGGACGAAGACATCGCCGGAGCCGTCCGAGTTCTCAATGAAGCCGAAGCCCTTGCCGTCCATGACCCTCTTCAAAGAGCCTGAGTATGCCATCTGTGATCCACGACACGTCGACCTTTAGGGATGGCAATTTGGCGATCTGCAGCTAGTGGCTGCAAACAAGTCACACGTCATCCTGGTGGTCGGCAAACGTCTGCATCTTGTGAGCAAACAAGACACCCGACCCAAGAACGGGCAAATGGCAAATGCACCCGATCCAGAACTTGCTCCGTGATCTAACAGCTACTCACAAGACCAACACACCTACGCATCTGCCAGCAAGTCAGGTCAGCAAACATATTACAACACTTGTCAAGCCAGAACAACTCTGGAACCAACACGAATGGCTCAAGGAGTTGCCCCGAATGGCTCTGGTTTCGATCAAAACAAAACAGAAACTCGCTTACCATTGCAGTACACACTTCGTGTCATTGCTGAATAAATGAGGACCAAACACTCATGACAGGAAAATCATCTTCAACACATGTTGCACTGAGAAGAATCTCCTGAACAAAAAAACATGAAGCCACAATTTCACCTTACAGCGACCTCTCTGAAGACTACTTGACGGCATCGGTGCATCTGGCCTGATCCCAAACCGCTCAAGGCAGCAGCTGAAATTGGGGCTGGCAAACGTGATCAATTGTGTCAGCGAGATGGATCTCTCAAACCAAGGTACACCGATGGGGAACGTGCAATTCTTCAATTCTTGACAATTGCAAGCCTCGCAACGAACTACAACTGAAGCGAGCTACTGCCGATGCCGATCCACCCATAGTAACACAAAACAGCTTCACGTGGAAGCCATGGAACATGGATGTTCGAGGATCATTGACTCTGGCTCATGGCTGATGTTGGCAAACGGGGCCTGTTCAGTAGTAAGGGTCGTATCGCTTGCCCTTGCCCTTGCCCTTGCCACCGGACTTGCCATAGCCACCGTAGTCCCCATAGTCTCCACCGCCGCCTCCTCCGCTACCGCCATTCGCCAGGGTCACATTGGTGGCCTTGGTCTTGCCACTCCTGGGGTCCTCTGTGATGTCGAAGGTCATCTCCGCACCTACGACCAAGTCTTCAGAGCCTCCGTTGGTCAGCTGGGAGAAGTGGACAAAGACATCGCCGGAGCCGTCCGAGTTCTCAATGAAGCCGAAGCCCTTGCCGTCCATGACCCTCTTCAAAGAGCCTGAGTATGCCATCAGTGACCGATGACACTTCGTCCTTACACAATTCGGCGGTCTGCGGCTGGTGGCTGCAAACAAACCAATGTTTCTATGCTTAAGTCAATGACACGTCATCTTGGTTGTCTGCAAATGTCTGCATCTGGTGCGCAATCAAGACACACGATCCAAGAACGGGCAAATAGCAAATGCACCCGCTCCAGAATTTATTCCGTGATCTACCAGCTAGTCACAATACCAACCACCTACACATTTGCCAGCAAGTCAGGCCTAGCAAGCATGGTGCAACACTTGCCAAGCCAAAACAACCCCCGCAAACACAAAGTGTTGCCCCAACTGGCTCTGCTTTTGACCAAAACAAAACAGCCACTGGCGAAAGTTGCATTGCGTACGTGTCATTACAAATGAGGACCCAACACCAATGATACGAACACATCTGCCGTACATGTCTTGCTGAGAAAGACTCTCCTGAAAAAGCAGGACGCCACAATTTCACCTTACAGCGACCTCTCTGCAGACTACTTGACGGCATCGGTGCATCTGGCCTGATCCCAAGCAGCTACAGGTAACAGCTGAAATTGCGGCTGGCAAGCGTGATCAATTGTGTCAGCAGGATGGATCTGTCAAACCAAGGTACACCGATGGGAAAGTGCGATTCTTCAACTCTTCACATTTGCAAGCCTTGCAACGAACTACAACTGAAGCAAGCTACTGCCGATGCCGATCCACCCAAAGAAACACAAAACAGCTTCACGTGGAAGCCATGGAACATGGATGTTCGAGGATCATTGACTCTGGCTCATGGCTGATGGTGGCAAACGGGGCCTGTTCAGTAGTAAGGGTCGTATCGCTTGCCCTTGCCCTTGCTCTTGCCACCGGACTTGCCATAGCCACCATTGTCGCCATAGTCTCCACCGCCGCCTCCTCCGCTTCCGCCATTTGCCAGGGTCACATTGGTGGCCTTGGTCTTGCCACTCCTGGGGTCCTCCGTAATGTCGAAGGTCATCTCCGCACCTACGACCATGTCTTCAGAGCTTCCGTTGGTCAGCTGGGAGAAGTGGACAAAGACATCGCCGGAGCCGTCCGAGTTCTCAATGAAGCCGAAGCCCTTGCCGTCCATGAACCTCTTCAAGGAGCCTGAGTATGCCATCAGTGACCAACGACACTTCGTCCTTACACAGTTCGGCGGTCTGCGGCTGGTGGCTGCAAACAAACCAATGTTTCTATGCTTAAGTCAATGACACGTCATCTTGGTTGTCTGCAAATGTATGCATCTGGTGTGCAATCAAAACACACGACCCAAGAACGAGCACATAGCAAATGCACCCGATCCAGATCTTTTCCGTGATCTACCAGCTAGTCACAATACCAACCACCTACGCATCTGCCAGCAAGTCAGCTCAGCAAACATATTACAACACTTGTCAAGCCAGAACAACTCTGGAACCAACACGAATGTCTCAAAGAGATGCCCCAAATGGCTCTGGTTTCGATCAAAACAAACCAGAAACTCGCTTACGATTGCAGTACGCACGACAAGTCATTGTTGAAGAAATAAGGATAGGAAAATCAACTTTTACACATGTCGCACTGAGAAGAATCTCCTGAACAAAAAAACATGAAGCCACAATTTCACCTTACAGCGACCTCTCTGAAGACTACTTGACGGCATCGGTGCATCTGGCCTGATCCCAAACAGCTCAACGCAACAGCTGAAATTGCGGCTGGCAAACGTGATCAATTGTGCCAGCGGATGGATCTGTCAAACCAAGGTACACCGATGGGAACGTGCAATTCTTCAATTCTTGACAATTGCAAGCCTTGCAACAAACTACAACTGAAGCAAAGCTACTGCCGATGCCGATCCACCTATAGTAACACAAAACAGCTTCAGAAGCCATGGAACATGGATGTTCGAGGATCATTGACTCTGGCTCATGGCTGATGGTGGCAAACGGGGCCTGTTCAGTAGTAAGGGTCGTATCGCTTGCCCTTGCCCTTGCTCTTGCCACCGGACTTGCCATAGTCACCGTAGTCCCCATAGTCTCCACCGCCGCCTTCTCCGCTTCCGCCATTTGCCAGGGTCACATTGGTGGCCTTGATCTTGCCACTCTTGGGGTCCGTTGAAGGTCATCTCCGCACCTACGACCATGTCTTCAGAGCCTCCGTTGGTAGTTGGGAGAAGTGGGCGAACACATCGCCGGCGCCGTCCGAGTTCTCAATGAAGCAAAAGCCCTCTTGCCGTCCATGAACCTCTTGAAAGAGCCTGAGTATGCCATCTGTGACCCAAAGACACTTTGGCCCTCAGGGAGGACAATTCAGCGGTGGCTTGTGGCTCACGGCTGATAGCAAAGCAATGCAATGAATGCACTGCACATGCTGCCTCTAGTGCAACTCTTCTTGGGCTTTCTGTCCTCCTGACTTGCTTCAGCTTCTTCTCATGGGGAAATCTGAGCAGTGTCTTCTCCAGATTCACAAGCAACAGGCAACTGATTCATGAGCAACAGCCAAAGAGGAGATTCAACTCCCGAGCATGAAAAGTTGCTGGAAATTATCCAACCGACTTTAGGCTTCCTGAAACTGCGAATATGTGAGGACTTGCATCATGTGAATATTGGATCAAGGACCTGGAACTCCGTAGCTCCTCCATATGCATGGCCAGTTTGAGAGATAGACCCCGCAGAACCAACAGGCAAGCAGCTTGGTCACTCTGAGCAGCCAACTGCTGCTTAACCCATGCGCCACTGGCCAAGGGCTTCTGAATCCTGGCACCAAGCAGATCCACATGATGCCGCACTTTGGTGAAGGGACACCTTGTCTTGTTGACGTCTATGCTTGGGCACGGCTTGGGATTACAGGACTCCCGGTACACTTTGAACGGGACTCAAAAACAGCCCTCGTGCCGCTTGATTAGGCTTGGAACCTCTCTTTTTGCAAGACATTTCTGACCCTTCTACCTCAGCCTTTGCACCACAGAATAAATTCAGCTAATCATATTTTGATGATGGTCTATGAAGTGAACCTCAAAAAACAAGATCATATCAAAGAGATCCCCTGTTTTGATTTGGGAGAATGAAGGAACCAACAGGTACAGAAGCTTTCTTTAAGAAGATACAAATGTGTGAGAAGTGACCGTGGTTGAACCTGGGAAAACCCCCATGTGCTACACTTGAACATATGAAAGAGGTAGTGGGGAAAGCAAACGCTCGTGGCCATCAAAACAGTTTGCAAGCAGTGAGCAACTGTGGCAGCGAATATCTCCAAGAGGATACGGACAGCATTGGGGCAATCATATCTGCATTTGCTCGCTTACCCAACGGACAACGCAATTGTTGCGCCTCTGAGAAATACCTCAGACATGACCCGCTCCTGAACTGGGTTCACTTAGCTCAATTCCAAGGAATATCTATGGCCCAGTTCTTCTCGAAAGGAACCAAGCTTTGCCTGGAGGCGAACGTTGCACCTCCCTCATAGCGATCGCTGGGGCCCCAAAGGCAGAGTCACTCGGGGGAAATTCCAAAAGCCAGCGGCATCCAGAAGACCAGTAGACATTGCGGGGGGGGGGGGGCGGGAGGGTGGTTGGGCAAGTTGCAAAACTGCGTGGAATCTGCAACATCAAAAATGATGTGGGAGCAGGGGGTGGGGGAGGGGTGGGGTGGGGTGGGGTGGGGTGGGGTGGCAATTATGGTTGGTGTTTCAAGGGACTCGAGACGAACACCAACTACGTGCAGGGGTCCTTATGTTTGGAACCACCATGTGAATTTCACAAATAACACAAAGGACCATACTAATTGGAGGGACATGGCCCAATCCTTGGCCCACATGTCAGGTACAAAGATACTTTCAGATCCTGTTTCCTATTGATTTCCCCCAATACACGGTCTAGTTTTGGTGCAAACCCCAGGCGCAAAACACCCCTGACTCACCGCCCCAAACAGTCAGAATGGACGCATCAGCCTCATCACCCCTAAGAAAACTCACCCAAAACACCAACATCATTAGGTGGGGTTGGGATCTTTTGGCGGTCTGGACGTGGGGTTGCCCGAAACAGACAGGTGGAAACAGACAGGGCAACCATCTTCAGCGGCCCTGACAGGGGAAATTCAAGGATTCAATGTGTATCTTGTTCAAGAAACCACATCCAAGCTCGCGAACATAATCGGATTGTGTTCGCGCGAACTCGATGCTGCCGAGGCGCCAAAAGTAGAGCACTAGGATGGTCATCGGGCAAAAGCACTGAAAAAACAACTGCTTTTCACCAGAAACTTGTTTTGCAGTGGTTTGAACATGTCACAAAACAACGTGAGAATGGTCTATTTTGTGGCATGTTTCATGAAGACCATCACCGACCAAGCAGGCAGCCACAACAAAAACGCAGGCAGCGAATGTAGCCGCACGAGGACCTGCCCAGAGCAATGAACCACCATCGGAAGTGATGCCAGAGCAGGGGAAGGCAGGGGCCAAGGCCTGTGAAGTCAAAAGGAAACCGCCCTGGAATCCGGACAGTGGAAAGCCAGGATAGGGTCGAGTGACTGCGTCACCAAATCAAATAGGGAGTCCAGGTATAAAATGCAAATTTGACAGAAAGGAGCAAGCACAGGGTGAGCCGCGAACAAAGACAACACGCCTGTCAAGCGACAGAGGAGCACAAGACCTAGGGCAGAACGGGCATCATCTGACATGAGCATGAGAAGTAATGCTGCAGGTCCAAAGTGCCATCTTCTGCAATCATCCCCCCCTCCCCATTCCCTCACCCGCCCCGCCCCCCCCCCCCCCCCCACACCCCCTCTCCCCGGCATCTCCGAGCAAACTCCCCAAGCCATGATATGTTTCAACATGATGTCATCTTGTCTGGGAACTTAAACCGTCTGGAGGGTGTTTTGGGGTGGATGGATTCTGGGGTTCTGTCCAATCCAATGTGAGCGTCTAGTATGAAAGCAGCCTTCATCACGGGTGAAATCGGACGCTAACCCGAGCCCTTTTGCGAGGTCACGCTCATTTTTTGCCCGGAAGCATAC